AGAGAGAGAGAGAGAGAGAGAGAGAGAGAGAAAGAGAGAGAGGAAGAGAGGGAGGGAGGGAGGAAAAGGGCATTTAGGGTATTTATGGGGCTACTGGGTTTCATTCAATTTTTACATAACTACTTGAACTCAAGGCTGCTCTTGAGCCTTTTAGACATATGCAGATCAAATTGCTTAGTTCAGCTCAGGCAAAAAAAAAAAAAAGTCTCTGCTGACGGCATGTCACAGGACATGAAAGCTTGTATCATACTCCGCAGTGAAGAAGGTGAGGACGGGGTGAGCCAGACACAGCTAACAATGACAAATCAGCCATTTAGGAGGAGTGTGCTGATGACTGCAGCCGCACACAGAACGACACGGGAGGGACGGATGAGGGCACCTCCGGGGACATGAGGAAGCCTTGTGGCTGCTGGGATGGCTGGCAGGCTGCTCAAGGTGACAACAGAGACAGGTATCCTGAAGAGACTCCTCACTATGGCCCTGTTTGCTAGGAAGTCCCCCCAACCCACCAGGCATTGGAATGCCTGTCAGCCATGAGAAGCTTTCACGCAAGGGAGGGACCCCGGGGCAGGAAGTTCTGTGAAGCCAAGGCTGGTGAAGCTGTGGAGATTCTTTCAGGCACCAGACAGCCTCCTCTTTTCCCACAGCACCGTCTGAGGCATCTCCAGAACTGCTGAGCCCAAATCCAAATGTCATAATAGAAAAACACATTTTCTTAAAAATTTAAGTTCCTACCAGGAAGTAGTCAACACCTCGCCACTGTACCCTGTGTGTTTAGGAGGAGAAACCAGGCCTGGCTGTGATCTGTGGCAGCTCCTCCAGGCTTCATGAGCCCAGGGGATGTGGAAGTCATGTTTGTGTCTAATTTGCTTGACCAGGAGCCAGATACTTCCTAAGCTTTGTTGCTTATCATCCACACAAAGACCCCAGGGCTGTTCCTAGAGGACCAGGGAAGGCGAGCAGCTTGCCCAAGGGCACTCAGCTTAGCAGAGGCAGTGCCAGGATTCCAGCCCAGCTGCCCGGGACCTCAGAGCTATGCTCTGTACCCCTCATGGCCACGGGAGTCTCAGAGCTGCTACATTTCTTATCAAAGGGTGGAGGCTGGAGACTTCCTTTCCCTATGAGACAGCTTCACAAGGAAGGAGAGGCTGGAGGAGGGATCCGTGCTGCCAGGTTCCAACAGCTGGAAGGAGGGGAGGGATCAGAGGCAGGAAGAACATTCTGGAATGACAACCCTGACCGTCCTGTTAGGGGTCCCCATTCCTGCCTTCTACTTGCAAGTGGCCATGGTCCAATTCAATTGTATGTGCCTTGCTGGACATGCAAATTACTGACACTTCACACAAAGACCTTATTATAAATTACTATGTTTAAAATTCTATGTCAGGATATGGGGACTACCAGTTATTCATTCATTTTGCCAGGGACAGAACTCAGGGGCTCTGCACACTCTAGGCAAACACTCTCCTGCTGAATTCCATCCCAGCTCTATCTTGTGTTTTAACTATATGCCAGTCTATGCTGTGAATGAAACTTAATTGACATATTTGGTCTTCAATGGAGGGAGAATTTTGGTGAGGTCTAGCTTTCTGTCATAGTTCACGATGATTCTTATAAACATTCTTGAGCACACTTTCAGGAGCATCTTCATATGCCCTGTGGCTGTTGACTCATTTTTTACAGCTTCTGAAGATTTCGCCACTTATTTTCTTGAGACCTGGTCTTACTGGTCTCAAACCTATGATTCTCTTGCCTCAGCCTCGCAAGTTCTGGATGATAGGCATGCACTTCCGTGCCTGGATCTATATCACTAAATGCGAGGGATGAATAAGGTGAGCGGCATAAATCAACAGTATCCTCTCAGGGAGATTTCGAAGTGGAAACAGCACATATTTTTGTCATAAAAATATTGAAAATAGTTGTCTAATTTACTTCACTCCTGGGAATTCAGCTGAAAGAGACAGTAATACATTCTGACCCATGTGAGGTCTCCATCATAGTATTATTTGTAAGGGGAAATATAGGAAAATAGAGGCTGTGAAAGGACTCTCCAGTAAATCATTATTTAGTCATGATGATGGATGCCCTGCAATTATTTAAATGATGGTTGTAAAGTTAAAAATACAAAAAAATGGTTTTGATGGAATTAGACTAAAGTGCACGGATTGGCAGGCATCATTGGCCACAGTGTTAGGAGACATACATATATGCCTACTTGTTCTCACACACACACACACACACACACACA